TATAGCAATCATTTTCTTTATTGTCCTGCTTTTGAGATCATGCCTAAAAAACTTTCTTCCTTTTTTCTCTTCTATACCTCTTTTATCTTTTTTTCCCATTAATCTCATTGGTCCACCTGGAATTTAGTTTGCCTTGAAATTCATTTAATGTATACTTTTGAAGGACACTGACATCATATTTCCTATCTACTACTGTCTCCACATTGTTAAAATCTTCTGTCTTTCGGTTTTTGTAAATTCTTTTATCACTCAAGGATATTTTTCCTTTTTTTTTTTTTTTTTTCAGATAGAGCAGGAGGGAGAGAGAGGGAGAGAGAGAGAGAAACATCGATGTGAAAGGGACACATCGAGTGGCTGCCTCCCTCACAACCCAACCAGGGCTGGGGACAGTTCATAACTGTGATGGCTTTTTCTTTTTTTCCCATTTTCACTTAGTTATCAAGTCTTTCTTTTCTTTCTTTTTTTTTTATCCTCACCCGAGGACATTTTTCCATTTTTTTTGTTCAGATAGAGTAGAAGGGAGAGAGAGAGAAACCGCTGAGCCAAACTGGCCGGGGCTCAAGTCTTTCTTTTTCCTTTCAAATGTTTCATACATCTTTTCTTTCTAGTCGTACTCCAGGTTATTTTGATCTTTCATGGACCATTGCAACCACCTTCCAACTGGTTTTCTTGCTCCCAATCTCCCCTTCATTGATTGATTCACCTAGTCAACATTAATCGAGGGCCTATGTGCCAGGTGCTAGAAATTTACAGATGAGTGACAGGGGCCCTGCTCTCAATGAGCTGCGATGAATGGCCAAACAGGTAACCTGATCATCACATTGTGTGGTATGTGCCATGGCACCACTGTGCCACCAGGTGCCACCAGAGTACAGAAGAGGAAGGAGTAGGGACAGCTCTGGAGAGGAGGCAGTGTTTGAGCTGAGTCTTACATAATTAGCATGAATTGGTCAGGAACTCAAGCCTCTGAGGTTAACTACTTTTTAAAAAAAATTTTTTCTTTTTAATCCTCACCCAAGGACATTTTTCTATTTTTTGTTCAGATAGAGTGGGAGGGAGAGAGAGGAAGAGAGAGAAAGAGAGAGAAACATCGACGTGAAAGGGACACATCAAGTGGCTGCCTCCCGCACGACTCAACCAGGACTGGGACAACCAGGGCTAAGGGCAACCGAGGTACGTGCTCTTAGCTGGAACCCAACCTGGGTCTCTCTGGACTGCAGGCCGACGCTCTAACCCACTGAGCCAAACCAGCCAGGGCTAACTACCCCCCCCCCCCTTTCTTTTTAAACCAAAGCCTTCTTTGGGAAAAATTTTTTTTCTAAATGCAAATTTTTCATATATCTTGATTTTGTTATAGTAGACTTTCAGGCCCTTAAAATGCTATTTTCACATTTCAATCATGTAATTCAAGCATAGAATCAAATATCAAGCTAACAAATTACTACATTTGCTAAGACACTAAGTCTCAGGTATAAATTTGCTAATCTTTTCCCCTGCCACGGTTGTCCAGTCATATCCGCAGTACTATACTATCTAGTTTGTTAAGTAGCATTTTGGAGATCAACAAGGTTTTCATAGATTTGCTGTTGTCCTAGCCCATCTACAGACCTGTAATTCGACAAAGTCAGGATTAACTTATTGCAATGAGGGAGGCTACACACCAGAAGACCAACATAGGACAGAACTAATATAACATTTGGGGAAAGGGGGAGATAAAATTTAAGTGAAGCAGTATTCTGCCAGGCTAAAAGCCAACTAAGGCTCATGCAAGGAATCAATGTCAGGTCTAAACTGTGAAGTGGCCCCCTGGTGGTGTTTCCTTGGAAATGCCAGTTCAGATGCAGAACACTGTTCTGAAGCTGTGCACCTGGGTTGTAAATGAAAACTGCCTCTCTCTGTCAGAGTAACTTGGATTCTCCTGTCAGGAATGGAATGTTTCATTTTTATCGATACCATTTCAAACAGCAAAATTTCTGATAGTCTGTGATTTTAGAGAACAAAAGCTTTAGGTGCGTTAGAAAGCAGCAGTCACTCAAAGAAGGGGGCTGTTTTTCATAATTTACAGCTGTAATGTATCAGTGGGAGAGACAGTTTTCTTAGTTAGCCTTTACCTATGCCTGTTTACCTAGCCTGGGAAATGGCACGGCAGATTTTTAATTTCCTCAGCCCTACCACATTTTGACTTTTTCAGTGCTTACATTACAGAGCAGGATCTGTAGACAAAAGGCAGAGGGGTCCTCAGTGAGGCTCCGACATCCGCTGCTGGCCCTGCGTTGCTGATGGAATTGTAGGTATCCTCTGTTATGCATCAGGGCTGGGAGCTTCTTCAGAGCTTCTGAGTCTTTCAAAGATTCCCTCTGTACTGCCAGTTCCTGGCACACGATGTGTAGCCAACCCGCAGATGAGTCATCAGGGTTGCTCACCCCCAAGTTTCTGTAATCTGTCACTCTTCCAACATATGTAAGGTGGAGGTAGCAAGTGCTACCTGCTTCCAGAATCCCAAGGGCTGTCAAGGTGCTTTGGACTCCTGGTGTTGCTTGATCAGTGAGGAATGTGGGGTGGGGGTGGTAGAGATGGGGGAGGAGGGATTTGCATGTGGATCAGATCAGCTAACTCAGTCTTCATGCCTGAAGTCATGTTCTGAGCTCCTTGCAGAATCTGGCCCAGCCTGTAAAAGCCAGGCCTCTCCTTTAGCTGTGGAGGCGTGGAAGCAACGCCCCTCCTAGCCCAGCTGCCATGGGAAAGTGTAACGATGCTCTTCTGGGAAGTCACTGAGTTTAAAAGAAGCAGTACCATATTTAAATGAACTTAGCTTCTTGAACTACCTTCATTGGTGTGCGACCCATCTGTGTTGTCGTAGGAGGAGCCAACATGAGGCACTTTAAAGGCCCTCAAGTCCTGGCCGGTTTGGCTCAGCGGTTGGAGCATTGGCCTGCGACTAGAGAATCCCTGGTTCAGTTCCCGCTAAGGGCACCTAAATAAATAAAGGCCCTCAAGTTGAGTCACTTTTTTCTTGGGTTTTTACATTGCTAGATTGAGTGTATTTAACTCAGGATTCTTAGGCACAGGCAGAAATTCTTTCTGCAGGCTGTAGGTAGTGGGGCCAGAGTGCTCTCCTTTCTCTTTTTACTAACATAACTCAGGCTTTTAAGTGTTCAGCTTCTGGTTCAGAATTATTATTATTATTATTATTTTTTTATCCTCACCCGAGGACATTTTTCCATTTTTTGTTCAGATAGAGCGGGAGGGAGAGAGAGAGAGAAACATCGACGTGAAGGGACACATCGAGTGGCTGCCACCCGCACGACCAACCAGGGCCGGGGACAAACTGCAACCGAGGTACGTGCCCTTAGCGGGAACCGAACCCGGGTCTCTCTGTACCGCAGGCCGACGCTCCAACTGCTGAGCCAAACCGGCCAGGGCCAGAATTATTTTACTGAATCATATAGTGGTCCCTGAATCCACAATGCAACCATAATATACCAGTTGTCAAGGCAGTTTCCTGCTTAGGAAATGGCAAGATTCTCTTGGACGAAATAGGAAGTACTGGGATAATAAGTTGGTCAAGCGTGGGTAGAGAGCTGACTTCTGCTTGTAAAGGGTGGTTTGCAGGGAGGGCATCATTATATGTTTGAAAAATGCCAGTTCCATAGAAGTAACCAGTATGAAAATCAAAGGCAGCCTACTGATAAAATAAAGTGATAAAATGAGCTCCTTGGGGAATGGGTGGTGTTCCTCACAGGGCTGGGTACCTCCTATCTGGGCTCCGGTGGCCCCCACATGATGCTTCATTAGAGCAGTTACATCCAGGAAGCCCGGGTGTTCTTCAGGGCCCCGGTGAGGCTGACCTAGCACCACGCCGGCCCAGTACATTGACGAAGTTCATTAAATGAGCTCTTAGCTGGGCTGCCCTGAGGATGAAGGGAAAAGCCGACAAGAAAGGCAAAAATCTTCTAATTTGTTGGTGTGATGTCTATCCTATTGAATACTTAGAATGATATCAGTAAATCAGACACTTGTTTTATTTTTCCCTTAACAACTTGTTAGTCATTAGATTTTTATCCTTCTGATTTCTATCTTTATCCCAGGCTGGAACAGGAAGAGAAAGGTGATAATTTCTGGCTTAACTAGTCATTACTCTTAGGTGTGTATGTATGACACATTTTAAATCTTTTTTTTTTTTATCCTCACCCGAGGACATTTTTTTGTTTTTTGTTCAGATAGAGTAAGAGTGGGAGGGAGAGAGAGGAAAAGAGAAAGAGAGAAACATTGACGTAAAGGGACACATCGAGTGGCTGCCACCTGTGCAACCCAACCAGATACAAACTGCAATCGAGGTACGTGCCCTTAGCGGGAACCGAACCTGGGTCTCTCTGGATCTCAGGCCAACGCTCTAACTGCTGAGCCAAACCGGCCAGGGCTTAAATCATTTTTAAAGTCAGGGGGTGGTATTACTAAAACTTTCTTATTTTAAAATGACTTTTCCACTGCAACATCCAAGATAAGTATATCATGCCACTATTTTTTTTTTTTTTTACCACAGATTCTTTAATCAGATTGTTTTGATACAGTTATGATGTAGGCAATTTCCATGTACAAAACTCAAATCTATCCATTTTTCCCAAGAAACAAACATTGTTTTATTTTAGAGGCATTTTATTTGGACAACTAAAAAACAATTAGATGTTCAGAAGCAGTCTACAATGAACGAGAAATAAAACCTGTTACTTTATCATGTCTTCCCCCTCTTCTTTACAATGAAAGCACAAAAAAGGCTTTCTGCTTTAAGGGAAAAGTCAGAAAAATAGGCCAATATATTTTTCGTCTCCATAATAACATAAACAGCTACAAGAAATCTAACTGTAATAAGAGAAATTGGATGTTGGCTTGCATGTATTCATTAAAAAGACAATAGGCCATTGTACTACTAGAGCATAACTCCACCTGCCTTCATCTGATACTCTTGCATTTTCACTTACAGGTAACAGTAAGTTAGTTAGGTCCACACTGGAGCTAATTCATACTCCTCATTATTTACTGCTCCATGTTTGTCTTAAGCAGAGACCAACTCTGAAAGGCGGATGCTTTTCTCTGCTTGCTCGTTTCAGTCCGTACGGTGCATACTATTTGAGGCATATGCATGATACTCAGGCCTTCACTTCAGGAGTTGAACTACAGATGGAATCTGAATTCTCTGAAGCAATTTCTTCTAGCTCCTCTTCTGCTGTCTCTGGAAAACTGATCTTTGGCTTTGCCATCTCACCACTATCTTCTTCAGGAAGCACACATTCCAAAGGCCATATGTTTTTCCTACTACAGTTTGCCATAATCTCCAAGTTCCATCTTCAGAACTACTGGCATAGAGTTCTCCATCAGGACTAAATCTCACGCAGTGAATAGGACCAAAGTGTCCTTTGTAGGATTCTAATTCTTCTCCACTATTATAATCATACTTATAAAGTTTAAAGTCTTCACCACCTGCAACAAGAAATTCTTTCTCAGGATGAAGAGATGCAGAGTTCATGGGCGCAGGAGCTTCAAAGGATTTAATTGGGTCCAAACTTACTGCACTATGAAAAGCAATAGATCGTCCATAAGTTATTACCAAGATCTCTCCCTCAGGAATATATTCCATACTGCTAACAGACATATTCAAACTTAGAGATTTCACTTCTGTCACAGTAGAATGATCCCAAAGGCGGACAGTTTTATCATCAGCTGAAAGAATCTGTTTATCCTCACTGCACCATAGAACCTTTTTAATACCAGAGGTATGACCACTGATTTCTTTAGGTTCTGCTTCAGGTTTGTTCAAGTCATATATGCGTAACAGTTTATCCTGTCCCCCAGTTAACAAGTAATTACTATCCTGCGTAAAATCCACAGACTTGACAATGTGTTTATGAGCCAGGGTCATCAACTCACCTCCTGAGACAGCATCCCATACTTTGGCTGTGAAATCTGCAGCTGCTGTAGCTGCTTTGGTGGCATCCTTATTCAATGTTGCACCCCAAACGGCACCCTTATGACCCAAAAAAGTTCCAATCCAGTCTCCTGTGTCCCCCTGACGTAGCATAGGTTTACCATCTTTGCACGTGCTGATTAAGAAATAGCCGTAAGCCCTGGCCGGTTTGCTCAGCGGTTAGAGCGTTGGCCTGCGGTCCGGAGAGACCCGGGTTCGGTTCCCGCTAAGGGCATGTACCTCGGTTGCGGTTTGTCCCCGGCCCTGGTCAGTTGTGCGGGTGGCAGCCACTCGATGTGTCCCTTTCACGTCGATGTTTCTCTCTCTCTTCCTCTCTCTCCCTCCCACTCTACCTGAACAAAAAATGGAAAAATGTCCTCGAGTGAGGATAAAAAAAAAAGGAAATAGCCGTTAAGGCGTGATACCACTGAAGGCCAAGTCGACCACAGGCCGCGTGTGGCCTGCGCAGGTGAGCGGAGTCGGCCTCATTGCCCAGGCGGCGAACCGAGCGAGCGGGGCGGGGAGCAAGGGTCCTCTGGTTCCTCTCTCGCAACTGCAGCGCCTCGGGCTCCTCAAGGCCCTGACGCTGGGGCGGGCCGGAGACGGAACTGGGAGGCCAACCCCTGGCGCCCAGGTCAGGAAAGGGTTAGGGATGGGTCAGGGAGTTTGCTACTAGCCACCGACAGCCGCCCAGGGAGGGAGAGGGAGGGAGGGAGGGAGGAAAGTAGGGGAGGGGGAGAACCACAAAACCGGCGGTCTCGACCGGCACCGTCCACACCGCCACCGGCGGAAGTTACTCATGCCACTATTTTTTAAAATGAATTTCATTCCTAATAGTAGTGACTTTGGGAATCTGTGTGCCCGCCCTCCCGCCCTCCCGCCCTCCCTCCCTCCCGCCCTCCCTCCCTCCCTCCCTCCCTCCTCCCTTCCTTCCTCCCTTCCTCCCTCCCTTCCTTCCTCCCTCCCTTCCTTCCTCCCTCCCTCCCTCCCTCCTTCCTTCCTTCCTTCCTTCCTTCCTTCCTTCCTTCCTCACCAGAGGATATTGTTCCATTTGTCTGCAGATAGAGTAGGAGAGAGAAAGAGAGACATCTATGTGAAAGAGGCACATTGACTGGTTGCCTCCTGCACGACCCTGACCGGGGCCGGGACGAGCCACAACCGAGGTACGTGTCCTTACCCGAAATTGAACTCACGGCTCTTCGGTCAATGGGCCGATGCTCTAACCGCTGAGCCAAACCAACCAGGGATGTGTGCTTATATTTTTGATGCTGCTGATGCCAAATTCTTTCTTCTTCTTTTTTTTTTTTTTTTGCTGCCAAAGTATTCTTAGAAGGAGGAGGCCATGGAGCTGATCCCTGCCAGGCCAGCTGGCGCCCGGGGAGGAGCAGGAGTGGGGGCTCAGGTGCTTCCCAGTAGAGGCATCAGCAGGTCATTGAAGTGGGCAGAGGAGAGTGAGAGGCGGTGTGCTCCACAGGCGAGTAGTAATTGACCATGGGCTCGGGGCAGAGAGGGCAGAGCAGGAGTGTAAAGAACGTTGCCCACCATGGGGAGAGGATTAAAAACCATTGAAAGGTTCTTATAAAGTTCACTTCAGCAGTAGTGAGAAAGGGTTGGGTTTGGGGACAAGATAGAAAGATGAGGTATGAGGGTGCTGCTGCTCATCTGCACAACCTGGGGGTCACTGGGGAGGTGCCTGGGAGAATATGTGTACCCCCCCCCCAATTCCTAGCGGGAGTAGACAAGTTTTTAGAACTCTCGACATGATAGAACTATCCACTATATGGACCGTATATGTACATGGTGAGAGGTAGCTCACATTTCCATGTGAGCTGCAAGAACATAACAATTGAACATTTTCCAACAGAGTAGAAAATGACAACCTGGATTTCCCTCCCCTCCCCCATCCAACAAGCGTGTTAGGCATGCTGCACCTTTAATTCATCCAGGTGAGAATCAGTGGTCAGCCTAAGTTAGGGACTGGGAAGGAAAGAAATGAGGTGGCCAGGACAGTGGTCATTCAGTGGCTAAGGACATGGTTATAGAGCTCAGCCAGCACTTTCAGATGAGGGCAGGGGCTGAGGGACTAGTCTAGGATAATTTCTGTATTTCCAGCTTGGTCACTAACTTTTACTTTTTTTTTTTCTTTATTGATTTTAGAGACATAGGAAGGGAGAGAGAGAGAGAAACATCGATGAGAGAGAACATCAATTGGCCGCCTCCTGCATGCCCCCCACTGAGGATTTGGCTCATAACCTGGGCATGTGCCCTGACCTGGAATCAAATTGGCAACCTCTTGGTGCATGGGTCAACACTCAACCATTGAGCCACACCAGCCAGGCGTTGGTCACTAACTTTTGAAATTGCCTTCTGGGTCCCTTTATGGGCCAAGAAGATTAAATTCATTATTTATTTATTTATTTATTTTTATCTTTATTGTTGAATGTATTACAGATATTCCTCATTTTTCCCCCATTGACGCCCTCCTCCCCACACCCACCCCCCTCCTGCCTTTTCCCACACTGTTGTCTGTGTCCATTGGTTATGCATATAAGTTCTTTGGTTTATTTCTTCTCACCACCTAACCCCCTTCTCATTCAGGTTGGTCAGTCTAGCAACCAATTTGTTCTTAATCCCTTCACCTTTTTCACCCATTCCCCCAAGCCCCCTCCCATCTGGCAACCAACAAAATGTTCTCTATATCTATGAGAATGTTTCTGTTCTGCCTGTTCATTTTGTTTGTAGATTCCATTGTCGATACATATGTATTCATTGCCATTTTGTTTGTTCACATATTTTATCTTTTTCTTCAAAAAGACCCTTCAACATTTCATATAATAACGGTTTGGTGGTGATGAACTCCTTTAACTTTTTCTTGTCTGGGAAACTCTTTATATGGTCATCAATTCTAAATGACAGTTTTGCAGGATAGAGTAATCTTGGTTGTAGGTTCTTGGTTTTCATCACTCTGAATATTTCTTGCCACTCCCTTCTGGCCTGCAAAGTTTCTTTTGAGAAATCAGCTGACAGTCTTATGGGAACTCCCTTGTAGATAACTAACTGCTTTTCTCTTGCTGCTTTTAAGATTCTCTCTTTGTCTTGAACCTTTTGCATTTTTTTTGTTGTTGTTGTTCAGGTAAAGTGGGAGGGAGAGAGAGGAACAGAGAGAGAGAGAGAAACATCGATGTGAAAGGAACACATCGAGTGGCTGCCACCCGCACAACTGACCAGGGCCGGGGACAAACTGCAACCGAGGTACATGCCCTTAGCGGGAACCGAACCCGGGTCTCTCAGGACTGCAGGCCGGCGCTCTAACCGCTGAACCAAACCGGCCAGGGCAACCTTTTGCATTTTGATGATGATGTATCTTGGTGTGGGCCTCTTGGGGTTCATCTTGTTTGAGACTCTGTGCTTTCTGGACTTGTATGTCTGTTTCCTTCACCAAGTTAGGGAAGTTTTTTGCCATCATTGTTTCAAATAGGTTTTCAATTTCTTGTTCTCTCTCTTCTCCTTCTGGCACCCCCAAGATGCGAATGTTGGCACGCTTGAAATTGTCCCAGAGGCTCCTTACACTTTCCTCAGTTTTTTGGCATCTTTTTTTTCTTTCTGTTCTGCTCCCTGAGCCTCAGTTTCCGCTGGTTTTTCCAGCCAGAAGTTATGGGGACTTCTCTTCCTGGCACTGGAACCCTGAGCAGGGTGCCTGTTGTTGGGCAGGGACCCCTCATTCCTCAGGGAGGACCTTCCCAGCTGAGGTATCCTCCTGATTTTTATCCACCACACGAGGGTGTGGGACCAGCCCTGTGCTGGGGACATGGTGTGTGTGCTTGATTGAAGCATGTGGATCCCGGAGTCCTGGAGTTGCCAGGAGTCTCTGATAACCAAGTCTGCGCTGAAGGTGAGGCAGGAGAGGCTGCGGCCAGGTTTCACACTTGAATCTCAGTTGGTGAGTGTGCCGGGGATACTTGAAACCACCATATGCACGATTCCCATCTTCCTGGAACGTTGGCTTCATTTGGGGGAAAATACTTATGTGTTGAACCAAATGCAGATATATATATATATATATATATATATATATATATATATATATATATTTGGAGTAGAATGCAAATTTAGAATGAGGTTTGAAATAACTGTGCCAGTTCCCTGGCACCCCATTTTTTGTTTTTCCATTCCTTCATGCATCATACTGCATTTAAGCTGGATTCAGCTTAGATGAAGGAATTTAGCTACAGTGTTGAAAGGGGACATCTTACATTATTGCCAAGGTTTAAGAAAGTGCCAAGCTGGTAACTGCTTCCTTTTACAGCGAGCTCCCAGGAGACAAACACTTTAAAGATCATTGGCTGCCACCTGTAGATTTTGTTCATTGGAAAGGGCATCAAATAAAAGACGTTTTCCAGCCTCATTGGAAGGGATTTATCAAGCACCTAACCCTGAATAGACACCTACCCCCATCTATGGACATCAAAGTCTCCTTGAGGACAAGAAGCCACTGAAGCCGGAGGTAGACAGCTATCCCGACATCGACAAGGCCTGAGTACCTGTAGATTGGTACTGGACTCAGAATCCATTTTTTAAATTGTTTTAACTTATTTGCTGATGGTATTAGTCATAATAGTTATACTTGTTCTTTGTTGTTGTTTTTATATAGTTCAACTGCTTATGCTTACTAAACATGTATAAGACAACTATTAATACTCTTTTCATGGTTTATGTAAATATACTAGATGTCAAATACAGAAAAATGAGACAGAAGGCAAAGCTTGAATCATGATAGTTCATAGGATAGAAATGATCCAAAGTATTTTTTTGCGGTGAAGTTCGTAAGACCTGACTGCCTTCCACTTACCGGCCCTTTCGTTTTGGGGAAAAAGTCAATTGCAACTCAGGTCCGCTGGTTATGGTATTGCCCCATCCTCAATGGTCAACAAGATGACATCGATACTGAGACTGTAGGAATGAGCCCTCTGAGGGCTGTTCCACACTATTCGACCAAAAGATTGGTCATCAATTCATCCTTTGGATTGATTTATGACTGAAAGGGGGAACGGTGGACCAAAAAAAAAAGGAGTTCTATGGAATTTAACCTCACAGGTGATCTGATGATAAATTCCTAACTGAGCAGATCATGGTGGGTAGCCTGCCCCAGGTATATAACCTTGTAATAAAAATTTTATCTTTGCCTCAAGCAAGCTCTATCCATTGTTCTGTTATTCTCTGGAGCATTTGAGATCTTGCTCCCTGGCATATGTCATCAGGTTGGCTAAAATAAACTCTTATATACATTATTTACTGGTGCCCTGGCTGATTTGACTCAGCAGTTAGAGCGCCGGCCCTTGGACCGAGGGGTCACAGGTTCGATTTCCAGTCCAGGGCACGTGACTGGGTTGCAGGTTCTATCATCTGCCCCAGTGGGGTTGTTTGGGAGGCAACCAATCGATGTGTCTCTCTCACATTGGTGGCAGGGTAAGGAAGCGGGAGAAAGCAAAGCGGGGAGACTTCTAGGACTGGATAAAAAGTAAATACAGAGACACATACTTCTTTACAATGGTGGGTGCAGTTAACATTTTATATACCTGGTTTACTGAGGTATGGGGTATAAGATAATAATGAGGAATAAAGTTGTCTCACCCCATACCAACTCAGGAGAGAAGGCCATTTTCACATTTTAAGCATGTTATTCTAGATGCACAAAAACAACAGACAGTGCTTATTCAAGGGAGAGGTTAATTTACCATGTAGGCCTTAAAACATGACTTCCCACCATAACTTGCTCAGTTAGGATTTTTTTTTTATCCTCA